TCTAGAGCCCAGACTCTTACCTACCACCCTCCTTGTCTCCAACATTACTGCTAATTCCTACAACGTTCCAGATTAATCTGTTTAATAGATGTGGAAACTTAGGCTCAGTGACGTTAAATAATCAGCCCAAGGTCACCCGGCTGCTAAGTGGCACAGCCAGAATTTGCACCAGCACTGTCTGATATCAAACTCCACATTCTTTACGTGAAGCCTTGTTTGAACTGTGATATCTTCTGAAAACTTCCTCCAAGTAATTCATACATTTTTATCCTTATCTAAGTATTTATTATAAACATTTTAGATTAGGAAAGTTGAAGAATAAAACTAAATGTCCTTCATCTATTTATTCTCAACTTAATGCCTGAATAGTCATAGCCAAAATAGCTAGGAGGAAATAGTTCTGCAATTACTAAAACGAATGAAAGCCAGTATTTCTTTGCATTCTGCCTCTTACTCTGAATGTCCTAACACTCCTATTTTGCAAAGGCTGGAGGTCTCCTAATTGAAGCAATGAGCACACACAGGTGTGGGTGAACCCACGGGTTCATCGGTGTCTGAAGTGTACTCATTGGAGGAACATAAATTAGAAGCTAATTTCAAAGACATCTTTCTGTACTTATTAAAATGAAGCATGTCTGATACTTCTATTCCATCTTCTGTCTTACAGAGACAAATATTTTAATTTAAACCTAGTTTTGACTTGCGCTTCTCTTCAATTTCAACATACAAGATGGCTAAAGCAGTTCATTTATTCAGCTCATTTAGCAATTAAAGAAATCTTCTCAAGTAGAATAAACAGAGAAAGTATAATTTGAGGGAATAATTTTCTATTTTATTCTGGGTTCTTGCAATTTCTCCATGGAGTCCCCTCTTTCCTACATGTGTTAGATTTCTTTAAAATTCAAGAATTTTCAGAGATCAGAAGATGATGTTTTTAAAGGGAAGCAGGGCCATAAAAACATTATAAAATCTATGGATAAAAATAAATATCCTGGAGGGGGCTGGCCCTGTGGCATAGTGGTTAAGTTTGGCATGCTCTGCTTTGGGAGCCCAGGTTTGCAGGTTTGGATCCCAAGCACAGACCTACACCACTCATCAGCCATGCTGTGGTGGCGACCCATATATAAAGTGGAGGAAGACAGGCATAGCTGTTAGCTCAGAGCTAATCTTCCTCAAGCAAAAAAAAAAAAAAAAAAAGAGGAAGATGCTAGCTCAGGGCTAATCTTCCTCAGAAATAAACAAACAAATAAATATCCTGGAGAAATGCTTTAACAGCACTGGAACACATCTAAACTTTTGACAGCATGTGGAATCCTTCACGATCTGGCTCTGTCTACCTGTCCAGGCTCTTTTCCTATCATTCCTCACCAGCACTCACGTTCCACTAGCTCTGGTCTGTAGTTTCCCTACATGCTTTGAGTTCTCTGCCTGCCTGCCCTTGCACATGCTGATCCATCTGCTTGGAGCTGCCATCCCTACCTCGCCCCCTCGACACACTCTCTCCCCCATCCTACCACAAATGCCTTCTTCTTAATCAAGTCTTAGCTAATAACTTCCCTGATTCTTCCAGGCAGAGTTAGTCTTTCTCCTAGCCTCATGGCCTTAACAACAATTACTTTTTGTGTTATATTTATAGAAACTAGACCTATTAAAGGTCTGATTCTAGATTAATTTCTTGAGGTGAGAGCAGAGTTGAGTTTTTTGCATTGCTGTTGTTTTTGTCTTGAAATATCTGAATCTCCTGGACTTAGCTCAGGAGCATAGTAGATGCTTAATAAATATTTACTAAAATTTGGGCTAAATGGTGGTGAGGATGACAAGAGAAAAAAAATGTGGGCAAGAAGATATTTAAGTGCTTAAATATACTGTGTGTGTGTGTGTGTGCATGTGTGTCTCCACTTGTGAGGTATGGAATCAAGGACAGTAAGTATAGAATGATGGGACCCAAAATTCAAGCAGTGAGAAGCCCTTAGGAATAACTGACAACGTGAGGAACCTCCCACACCATGTACTGGAAGCACAGGTGCTGCGGTCCCAGAGGCCCAGGTGTGGATGCCAGCTGCTACTTATCACCTGAGTCACCTTAGCACGTTACTGACTCTCTTTGTGTCTCAGCTCTCTCATCGAAAAACCGGCAAGAGCTCTGCAGCTCCGAGGGGTGCTGCGAAGATTAAATGACACAGGTCCCTAGCAGAGTAGCTGAAAACAGTGAAGGCTCGATAAATGTTAGCTGTCACACTAGCTTAACCAGAGAGAACAACTTTAGGTCTCTGACACTTTACCTGTCTTCTAGATAAAAATTAGAAGGCCTTCAAGTTTAGATATTCAAAAACAAAAATAAAAACAGGAACAAACAAAAAACTAGATATCACATAATGACATTAGAAATACTGAGTTTACCTACCTATATTACAGGCAGAATTATAGTAGGCATATTATAGCCAGGCAAAACTCGGTAATAACCTTAAAGGAATATTCTGTATATTCTGTTTGCAGGTTTCTTGCCGTTCTACTTTGACATTTTCTTTTGAGATGTCAGTGAGAGATGTAATTCCTATAGCATATGACTCACACGTCTAACCTTTCTCCTTCCAGAACTCCTTTGACAAATTGTTTTTGTGAATTTTTTGTTTCAGTGATAAAGGAATATAAAGCTGAAGCAGGGGTTTCCCCCTTCTTAACTATTATACAGTTAAGGACTTCAAAAAACAAGAGTCTTCTCTGAAGAGGTCATTTTAGAGAAGCTGATGCATTCAAGGAGAGGTAAACAAAAAGTTCCAATGACGAGCACTACAGAAGGCTGGCAGAAAGGAGGGAAATGAATGAGACCAAATGGAAGGCCAAAAGAAGGAAAAAAAACCCAAATGGGAGAAGTGAGCACACATAAGAAACTACAAAACACTAACTAACACTGTGGATTGCATTTCTCAAAACAAAAATGACAAATCAATAGAAATTTTTATATATATAACGGGAATGTAACAACTTACAAAACTGTCTTATTCAGGTAATCCCATTAGAAAAAAAAATAGACTACAGAAGGGAAAATCCATTACCTCCCTGAAACATATATAACATTGGCATTTAAAATTAATTATTAAAAAAATAATAAAATAAAATAATTAAAATTAAAGTCAAAGTTAAGTAGAAATTAATTATTTGCCTTTCCCCAAATGCCCAAGGCAAAAACTAATAGGAAATGGCACAGAAATAAATCAGTTAAATGCACAAATCAGAGGCTTTAACTTAAATTTTACACCACAGTGCAGCAAACCAAGGCAGTTGCTTTCTCCCCAAACTTAGTGAGTCCAGTGAGTATCCACACTAGCTAATCAACTAATAATTTCTTGGTCTGCTCCTCTCATCTAGACGTCTCTCTTCCTCCTTAACAATCCTAGAATACAACACCTCCACCTGCAACTTTGCTCAGCTTTTGCTTCTTAAACACCCTAACTGAAATCAATCTCCCTCCCACTCCTACAACCTCTACTGCTGCTACTCCAGTTCAGACCCATATTTTCTTACTTGGACTACTGCATTAGATTCCTTATTAATCTTCCTGTCTTCAGGAAGATTCAATATTTTTTGTTTGTTTTTTTTTTGAGGAAGATTAGCCCTGAGCTAACATCCACCACCAATCCTCCCCTTTTTGCTGAGGAAGACTGGCCCTGAGCTAACATCTGTGCCCCTCTTCCTCTACTTTATATGTGGGACGCCTGCCACAGCATGGCTTGACAAGCGGTGCCATGTCCGCACCTGGGATCCAAACCAGTGAACCCTGGGCCACCGAAGAGGAAAGTGCGAACTTAACCGCTGTGCCACTGGGCTGGCCCCATCTTCAATCTTATCTACATCTTCCACCTATCTTCACTCTGCTGCCAGAGAGACATCTTTCTAACACGCAAATCTAATAATGTTAACCCAGTCCCACGTTACCCACTCCCCACCATAAAATTTTCAATAGGTTACACTCCCTATTGCCCATAAGAAACTCTGTTGTCAATGTCCCAGGCCTACGGATTTTACATTTCACCAGTATTGAGCTATAGTTCCCCACCTTCCAAACTCTTCCTCTCTTATACCTGTGGTATTTACACAGTCTGCCTGCCTGTCTGCAAAATAATACTTCTGTATATCTTCCTGGCAAGCTTCTGACCCATCTCTCAAGCCTGAGTTCAAACAGTTCGTTCTCTATGAAGCTTCCTTGACTCCTCAGGTAGAATGATGATCCTTCACCTCTATTCCTACTGCAGTTTGTACAAATATTTTTGGGTAACTATCATATTGTATTTTACTTATTCTTACCATTCCACTAGACTTTTAAGATTAGAGGAAATGACTTCTTGATTTGTATCCCCAGTATCTAGCGTAGCAGAGTACCTGACACGTAAATATTTGCTGAATGAGAGTTTTGACCATGTGGATAAAGAAACTTGGAATATAAAATACAAAAGCTTTTACAATTGTGAAAAGGGTAGCAGGAAAGCTAGCAACACAATCTCTACCCTAGTCTCCATGTCATAAATCCAAACCCTATAGTATCAGAGGCAGGCAAGGTGCTTTTGTGTCCAAATATTTCTCATTCTGCTTCCATCACCTCCTTGGTCTTTTTTCTGTCTGTAACCTCTCTATAGCCACCAGGCATAATTAGGCGAGCAGGGTACAGCACCAGCAACCCACACTGCTCCTCTAGCCCTGTCAGTGCCTCCACTCACTCACACACGCAGACAAATGCACCTCCTCCAGCAGAGTGCCACAAACAGACCTGGACACAAATCAGACCTCAGTTATAGTCCTGCCACTGTGGATATTAATAATGAACTTATTTCCCTTACTTTTCATTACACATAGAACTAAGGAAATGAAGAAAAGAAAAGAAAAGAAAGCTTAATGTCGTCGGTAGAAATGCTCCTGAATCTCTGCCTGCAGGTCTGTTTCCGCTCACACCGAGTGCGATGGCTCACATCCGATCACATTAGAGCCAGCTGCGTCCCAGTTACCTGCTATTTTGATATTCATGTTGTTATCCAGCAGGAGATTTTCAGCCTTGAGGTCACGGTGCACAATCTTCCGACCATGACAATAATCAACAGCTGACAGGATTTGCCAGAATTTGCGCCTGGCCTCAGACTCGTTTAACCGGCCATGATTAGCAAGGTAGTCTGTAAAAGAAGAGCGAATTCAGAATTATTCACCAAAAAACCCAAAAAGAACCCCACTATTAGTATTCAGGATTTTTTTCCTCAAAAAGCTTTTATAATAAATAAGAGTTGGCGTTCAAGTAACATGCTGTTTTCCAAGTTCCTTGCTTTGAGAAAAGTAATTCCAACCATATTTCACTGGAATCCAGATAACTGAAGAGAACCTAAGACCAGACAACAGTAAGTGGCATAATGTTTACAATACAACTCAAGATGCTCTTTTATGCCTAAGCACCCCCTTTGTTCTTGTGTTGAAAAATTTATTGACTATTTTTCCTAACCACATTTTAAAAATAAAATTTACGTAAAACAAAGAATATGAATCAATTCTCTGACACTCCATCAGACGAGGGATATCTTTCTTTTAAACAATCATTTCATGCAGTTATTATACAAATCACTGTAATGTGAGATACAGCCGTCCCTGGCAGTAGTTTACATAATTCACACCCTGTTCTCCTGTTCAATGGAGCAATGCTGATCTACCCAAGAATATGCAGACGCGTTCTCTAAACCAAACACTGTCATGACAGCCATACTCTCTCAACAAATACACTTTGCAAGGTATGTTAGCTCTCTTTGTGTAATTTATAATCTATTAAAACAGTTTACCTGAAAATTAATTCTGCAGATACCTTCACTAAAGTTTTCTGAGGCGAGGGGCCATATCATTCTCTTCTGTACTTCCCACATTGCATAGAACAATGCACAAAATGTCTCAGGTACAGTATTTATTAAATACCTAGCTGATTAAGGTCTTATCATGGATGGTATCATGAACCTTTCCATCAGCAGTATTATAAAAATGTGAAGTAGTGTTATACTCTACATGTCATAGGCTTTAAATTTAAGCACACATTTTGTATATTCTTCCACATCTGCCATTATCACAAACTGAGGTGATTAGCTCGTCACAGCTTCCCCTTGTGTTCACAGAGCCCACACAGTTGCCATCCATAATTCTGAAGGGGAAAAACGGATCAGTGAAGAACAAACATGTAGAATTTTCAGTCAAAACATCCAAACTATCATCAGAGTGACTATGTCTAAGTAAACCAGCAAGTGGACAACGTGCTCTCTACTCAGAAGAGTAAACCTGAGCCTAATTTCTATACTGTGTGAGCTAGGAAATCCATAATAAAGGGTTGGACCCTTGGGCAAAGACAAGTTACTGAGAGGAACGCAGCATGTTTTCTGTAAGGGATTATCTTTTGGCTAGTTAGTAATATCTTTCCTAAGATTCCACACCAAAGACAATTTTTTCATAGACAAATGATCAACTTCTCCAGATAGACAAAATTTCTTTCTGGTGAAAATGCCGAGTTAAGGTGGGTCAATGGAAAAGACTTTTGAGATTTTGGCAACACAGAGAAGCCTAAGAGATCCAACGTAAACAAGCACAAGCTAATATGCACGGAAAAAGAACCCAAACTGTCGCCTACAAAATGAGTCCTGGGAAGCACAACGGAATCCACAGTAAGGGATTGTTTTTGGAAGTGATCACTCCAAACTAGCACTACCACAGCCAAGGGGGAAGAAAAGCCTTGAGGCCGGGCAGCAAGGGTACTGTCTGAAAAGCAAAGGTGTGGGATATCGGAACCTAAAACTACCATGGAAAGCCACTGTCATCACAGCAACAAATATTTAACACACTAAAGAAAAATGACAACATCCATATTCCAGAGATGAAGAGATCAACTCTTTAAAAAGGTGCTTTTTTTCACTCATTAAGTGAAAATTTCAGCAAGTATTCTATCATATCTATGATCTCCCCCATTCTTTATGATTTCTGCAGGGTAGGCATCCCTGAAAACTACCATTCGCTGGGAAACCAGTAAAAGAAGTTACTGAGGCAAAAACCCGTGGCTGCAGATAACACCAGTTTAGGCATCCATCATCCCCTGTGAGGGGCACTGTCATCAATTCAAGCTCGAGTTAATGCACATGGTCCTTAAGATAACATGTAAAAAGCACACTCACCTTCCACATTAAAAACTCGACTTAATTACGGTTACAGAACAAACTTATGAGTGTAACAGCACTTCTCTATACTAACTGCCTATGTGGGTTTTTTTAACGAATGGATCCAGTTTAAAAAAAAATTCTTTTTCCCTATGTTTATATTTGTTTTGATTGTTAAGTGAAATGTAATTTTATGTTTGTTGACTTTAATGACAAAACTTTGGAGGTTATATTTTGTATGTCCTTCCTGCCCATTTTGCTTTTATGGTAATTGATTTTTATTGTATTTTACAAAAATCATGGTCTATGACAGATTGGACAATTTAAAAAATTGATCTTTCAATACTGATAATTTGAGAAATACTGGTACAGACAAGTAAACAGGCAATTAGAATACACTGTGATAAAGGCTAGCACAGGAATAAATATATCCTAATAAATATTTTTGAGGATTTAAAAAAATTTCCTATCTTTTTATTATGAAAATTTCAAACATACATGAAAGTAGAGAAAATAGTATAATGAATCTCCAAGACTTAAGAGTTATCAACATTTTGCCATACTTGCTTCGTTTATCCTTTTTTTCTTTTTCTTTTTTGGCTGTAGTAACCCTAAAGTAAATCTTGGCCTCATTTTGTTTCACCCTAAATACTTTTGTATGTATCTCTGGAAAAAAAAAAAAAGACATTTGCTTACATAACCACAATCCCGTTATCAGACCTAACAAAATTAACAATTCCTTGATATCATCTAATATGCAGTCTGAATTCAAACCTCCTCAGTTGGCTTAGTTGACTCAGGATTCAAACAAGATGTACATCTTGTATTTGCTTATTTTGTCTTTGGAGTCCTTTTATTCTGGAACAGTCCCCTTGCCCTCTCCCCTTTTTCTCATACTACTGACTTGAAGAAACTGGGCTGGTCATCCTACATTCTTGGTGTTGTCCCTTGCTTCCTCAGGATATTGTTTAACTTAGTCTTCTATCTCTTATATTTCCTATAATTTGGAATTCAAGTATAAAGAACAGAATAGATTCAGGTTTAAGTTTTTGGAGGATGACAAGAGTATGTCATAGGTGCATCTACTTAGAGGAATATAACATTTGCTTCTCCCGCCTTTAGGAGTACTGAGATTGATCAACGAGTCTGGGGGTGATAGCTTGAGCCTTCAATTAAATCACTCTTTCTCCTAATATCATGGTTCTCAATTTCCAGAGTACATCTTCTAAGACTTGTTAAAATAGATTACTGGCATCTATCTCCAGAGTTTCTGATATAGTAGGTGTTGGAAAGGGCCCAAGAATTTATATATTTTTTAGAAGTATCCAGGTGATGCTAGAACAGGGACCACACTTTGAGAAACACAGCACTAATTTTAGTATGCATTGGTGGTTGTATCTTAATCAATTACTTCATAGGGGTTGCAAAATTGTGATTTTCTAATTTTTTTATTCCTGCCACATAAATTAAATGAAACTATTCTGTTGTCAATTAGGGCTATTTAGTTATCCTGAAATACAACGAAAATAGGTCAGGAAGGCTGAATGCTTAATTCTTCCTCTGTGAGTACCAATTTTCAGAGTAATGGGTTGGGGCACACTAGCTACCCCCAATGATAACTATTAAGATTTGTGTGTTTAATTTTTTTTAGCTTTCTTTTTCTCCTATTTTTTTTTTAGCTTTCTTTTATGATTCTCTTAAGTATCATAATGAATGCATGGATTTTTATGTTTAATTTGTTTCAATCACTACAGTCATTCATTCTTCTTCTTTTTTTTTTTTTGGAAGATTAGCCCTGAGCTAACATCTGTCGCCAATCCTCCTCTTTTTGCTGAGGAAGACTGGCCCTGCCCTCACATCCATGGCCATCTTCCTCTACTTCATATGTGGGATGCCTGCCACAGCATGGCTTGAGAAGTGGTGCATAGGTCAGCACCTGGGATCTGAATTGGCGAACCCCGGGCCACCGAAGCAGAGTGTGCGAACTTAACCACTGCACTACTGGGCCAGCCCCTCATTATTCTTTTTGATGCTCAAATTTTCCCATCCTTGACCAATGGGAACCCCTTTATACGCTTTTTTGTTTTTTAACATGACCACAGAAGTATTCACTATCTTTTGCCTTCTGGCATAATAAAAATGTCTCATAGGGGCTGGCCTGGTGGTGTAGTGGTTGAGTCCATGTGCTCTGCTTTAGTGGCCCACGGTTCATGGTTTGGATCCCAGGTGTGGATTTATACATTGCTCATCAAGCCATGCTGTGGTGGTGTCCCATATACAAAGCAGAGGAAGACTGGCGCAGATGTTAGCTCAGGGACAATCTTCCTCACCAAAAAAAAAAAAAAAAAAAAAAAAAAGTCTCATAGTTCCTGCCCCAAATCTGGAATCAGTCACTTTTCCAAGAAGCCTTGGTTCTTTTTATTGGGGAATGGTATCTGGACGCTCAGGGTGCTTTTTACTGCTGGGTTGGCGCTGTTTCTAACTCTTCTCAGGGACAGAGCTAGGAAACAAGTACTTTTAAAAAGAAAAAAAATGAGTTCATTCCATTTCAAATTTAACATTATAGGAATTACTTTTCTTTGATTTTTACATTTGTCTTTCTTTTTCTGTTACATAAAAGATCTTGGTTCTTAATAGTAACATAAATTAATTGTTTTATCCTATAATACACATGAAATAGTTTCAAAATAGCTGTACTAATATTACTACCAACAATAAAATTACTGGATGAAGTTTAAAAGTTAATATTTCTTTGCATGTCTTTTTATCTTGAGATTATATTGCCCTAAGAATGTACAGTCAAAATACTATGTTAAAGTTACTTGAAAAGCTATCTCTGTGCTCTGTCTTGCCAACACGATATGAAGACAGCATGTTTATGTGTTGTTTTCAAATATTAGGGATTATTTTTTTCTCCTATTTGATTTAACTTTATTTTTGGAATATGTAAAACACTTACCTGATGTTTAATATGATGCCAAAGTTAAAACTATGTAACA